TGTTTTGAGATTTCTTTGTGGGATGTCTGAGGAAGAGAGCTACTAACAGGGAGTGGAAACAGCCCAAGAGAAAAAAGTGTATTGCAGTCAACAAAACTGAATGGAGTTGGAGACCTCCAACTTCTTTTCTATATCAGACGTGAAGATACAGAGTTTGGAGTTTGCCCAGCTGGTTTTTGGTCTTGTTTTTGTCCAGTATTTCCTTTCTATGCTCCCTTCCCTGTATTTTAGAAGGTTAATGTATATATGTTAGAAGAATGTGATCTGCTTTTTTATTTTAATTTTACAGGGGATTATAGTTAAAAGATTGCATGAGTCTCAGAAGAGACTTCGGACGTTGAAACAAGTTTGGGACTGTTATAGACTATAAAGACTTTTGAAGTTGGACCGAATGCATTTTTGCAATATGATATGGCTATAAGCCTTTGAGGGCCAGAGAGTGGAATGTGATGGTTTGAAAAAAAATGACTCCCAAAGGGAGTGGCACTATTAGATGTGGCCTTGGAGTAGGTGTGGTCTTGTTGGAGGAAGTGTGTCACTGTGGGGGTGGGCTTTGAGATCTCTTTTCTCAAGCTTCACTCACTGTGACAGTCAGTCAACTTCTTTCTGCCTTCTGGTCAAGATGTAGTCAGCACCACGTCTGCCTGCACACTGCCATGCTCCTCATCATGATGATAATGGACTGAACCTCAATTAAATTTTTTCTTTGGAAGAATTTCAATGGTCATGGTGACTCTTCACAGCAATAAAAACCCAAACTAAGACACCTCTATAAAATAAAACAACAGAAACACTGACAATATGCACCAGGTTCTTGCTCACTCCCAAGTATTGGGCTTTGGACTTAAGCCCAGCATGTGGAGACACAGCCTACCATCTCACAAACTTTCAGCAGAGTCCTTAACATCTAACCTATGTCTGTGTGTGCAGGAGGTCTGTCTTTGTCTTGCCATTTACTGTGACTTAGGAAAAGATCGCACATCTGTCTCGGCTCTCACCTCTCCAACTGCTGTTAAAGGTCTTCATATGCAGCACCTGCCTGGGCTATGCAGTTTGCAGAATCCCATGTAAGATGAAAGTGTGTGACTCTCTGTTAAAAGTTGATAATTGGTCTGCCTGTTTTTGTGCCTGTGCCATACTGTTTTATTACCACAGCTCTGTAATTTATCTTGAAATCTGGAACAGCCATCCCTCCACTTTGTTCTTTTTGCTTGGGATTGCTTTGACTATCTGCTGTCTTTTATGGTGCTCTATTAATTTTAGGGTTTTTTTTTGTTCTATTTTCTATTTTATAAATAATGTGGTAGGGGAATTTTGATTAGGATTGTATCGAATCTGTACATTGCTTTTGATAGAGTGCTCATTATCATAACACTGATTCTACCAATCCCTAAGGATGGAGGTTCTTTCCATTTTCTCGTGCCTTTCTCAATCTCCTTCTTCAAACAGTTGAAGTTTTTATCCAGAGGTCTTCTGGTTCTTTAGTTAGGCTGAGCCTATTTTACTTTTGGAGATTGGGAGTGTGTCCATGATCTCTTTCTCAGGATGTTTGTTGTTGGTGTATAGAAAAGCTACTGATTTCATAAATTGGTTTAGAAGACCTAAACATGAGTACACATAACTACAGCTGTATGATCTTTAACAAAGATGCCAAAAAATATATACTGGGGGAAAAAGGAGGATCTTCAACAAATGGCATTGAGAAAACTGAATGTCCACATGCAGAAGAATGAAATTATAGCTGTGTCTATCACCCTGCACAACATGACTCAAAATGGATCAAAGACCTAAACCCGAAACACTGAAACTGCTGGAAGAAAACATAGGTAGTGCCCTGCATGACATATGAGTCATAGGTGGGAAATGACTTTTTGAGTAGGAACCCTTTGGCCCAGGAATTAAGGCCAACAATTGACAAGTAGGCAATTGAAACTTCTGTACTACCAAAGAAACAATTAAGTAAAGAGGAAGTCACACGGTGGGAAAAAAATCTTTGCCATATATACATAAATATATAGATGATTAATGTCTTAGTTCAGGTTTCTATTGTTGTGCAGACCACAGTAAATCTTACAAATGAAAATATTTATTTAATTGAGGTGGCAGCTCACAGTTCAGAGGTTCAGATCATCATGGCCAGGAGCACGCTGCTTGGTGGCATGCAGGCAGACATGGTGCTGGAGCTGAAACTGCTACATCTTACAGGCAACAGGAAGTGGACTGAGTATCACACTGAGTGAAACTTGCACATATATGAGACCTCAAGACCTGCCTCCATAATGACACACTTCCTCCAACAAGGCCATATCTGCTCCTATAATGCCACACCTCCCAATAATACAGTTTCCTTTGGGGACCATTTTCTTTCAAATCACCACAATTAATATCCAGACTATACAAAGAACACACAAAAAACCAAGAATCAAGAAAACGAAGACCAGGTTTAAAGAAGGGCTCTGCAGATATTGCACAGAGACGGAGACCTTGGAACACACAGCTCTAAATGGAAGATCTCCACCAAATCCCTCTCCTCTGAGCTCAGGGAACCCCATGGAAGAGGAGGCAGAAAGAGTGTGAGAGCCAGAGAGTGGGTGGAGCACACTGGGAAAACAATAACCTCTAGAGCAGTGGTTCTCAACCTTCCCAGTGCTGGGACGTTTTATACAGTTCCTCATGGTGTGGTGACCCCAACCATAAAATTATTTCATTGATACCCCATAACTCTAATTTTGCTACTGTTACCAACCATAATGTAAATATCTGTGTTTTCCAATGGTCTCAGGCGACCCCTGTGAAAGGGTCACACCCACAGTTGAGAACTGCTGCTCTAAATCAACTGAACAAAGCTGAGATGAGCTCACAGAGACTGAAGCAGCATGCACAGGGACAACACAGGTCTGCACCAGGTCCTCTGCACATATGTCATGGCTTTCGGTTTAGTGTTTCCTTGGGATCCCTGAGTGTGTGAACAATGGGTCTCTGATTCTCGTGCCCTCTCTTGGGCTCTTTTTCTTTTTTTGGTTTGTCTTATCCAACTTCAGTGTAATAGTTTTAATTTTATCTTATTATATTTTATTTTGTTATGTTTTATTGTTCTCTCTTAAAAGCCTGTTCTTTCCTAATGAGAGTCAGAAAGGGAGTGGATCCGATGGGAGGGAAGGTGGGGCAGAATTGGGAGGAGTTGGCAGAGGAGAAACTGCAATCAGGATATATCATATGAGAAAATAATCTATTTTTAATAAAAGAGGGAAGTAAAAACAAAAAGGGCTGTGGATCTGAACAGATAGTTCTCAAAAGAAGAAATAAAAATGACTAAGGAATTTTTTCAAAAGCACTCATCATTCTTAGTAATTAAGGAAATGCAAATCAAAGCAACTTTGAGATTCCATCTTATCCCAAACTGAATGGCTAAGATCAAGAAAACATGACAACAGATGTTGGGGATACAAGGAGAGGTGATCCCTCTTCCACCATTTGTACGATTGCAAACTGGTCCAACCATTATGGAAATCAGTGTGGAGAACTCTCAAAGAGCTAAAAATAAATCTTCCATATGACCCAGCTGTATCCCTCCTCAGCACACACCCAAAGGACTTGACAGCCTGTTCCACAGACACCTACCTGCTCAGCCAGGTTCACTGCTGCTGTCTTCACAATAGCTGGAATGGGAACAGCCTGAACAGCAGTCCTTTTGCTGACAAGTGGACCATGAAAATGTGGTACACATACACAGTGGAATACTATTAAGCCATTAAAAAAATCATGAAATTTGCAGATAAATGAATGGGAAATATACTGAGTGTGGTTAACTCAGACCCAGAAAGACAAATGACACATGTTCTCTTTTATTTGTGGGTATTAGCTTCAAGTCTTCAGGCGTGAGTTTGTAAACTGGAGTAACCAAGAAAACCAAAGGGGCCACATGCAAGGGATGGGGTGAGGTGCTTGGGGCATGCTCTAAATCGGGAAACAGTGGGATGAAGGTGATATGAAGAGAAAAGTGGGAAAGATGGGAAGGCTTTAACTGGGGAGAGGAAAGGAAGGGTAAATAACACTGAAGATATTTGAAAAGCCATTGGGAATCATATTATTGTACAGTTACCTAAAATTACATATATATAAGTGTATTTGCACACATCTATATTTTTAATGAAGTTATACCACATGGGGTTATAATGCTTAGCCTCTAAGATCCATAGGCAATCTAATAAAAATCCCAGTACCAGGCATGAGAAACCTCATTTTGTGTTATTGGTCAGGGGAAGCCAAGAGGCTCCCCAAACAATATAAGCTATTGCTATTGCCCTTGGTTACCTCACAGAATTTGGAGATAAGTCCCTATTACTGAAGACACCACACACTTTGGACACAGGCCTCAGAAGATCTGAGCTGGATCTGACTTGAAAGCCTCCTCCCTGAGGACTAGTGTTCAAGATGGCAAGCTGCCAATGAAGGAAAGCAATCAGTCACCCTTCCAAGGTGGGAAGCCTATGAACCACAACAGAGGCCAGCATGGCAAGACATCCCTAAAGGTGTAACAGTGACACTTACATCTTGGTGGTGACCAATAGCTGTCTAAGTGGGCTTAAAGTTCTGCTCTACAGGAGGGATGCCTGGTACTGGAAACCTAACCAAGTACCTATGGCTATTGAGGCCATGGATCTTAGAGGAAAATCTATTAACTAATTTCCTCAACCAGTATAATTCTTAATTGCATTCTAAATACATATCCTTATATCCACAGATAAGTGTAGCTCTCACCCCTTATAACAAAGCAAAACAAAACAAAACAAAACAAAAACATCCTTTTTGCAGAAAGATCATTACAGAAAGCCACACCTGGTCAAAATGCAGCAAACAACTGACCATGAGATGCCCAACCCCCACATTTAAGGCTCAGAGAACATTATGGAACAGAGTACGGAAAGACTGTAAGAGCCAGTGTTATTAATTATGCAGCACTGTTTACCGGGCAAGAAAAGTCACAAGGCACAACACAACCCACTGTAAGAGTTTATTAGGGGAAGGGAATAGAAAAGGGTGCTTAGTGAAAGGATGACAAACGGCACTGGTTACCAGAGGAAAGGCCACGAGACACGGCCATGACCACCAGAGTTACAGAGCGCTTTATTGGAAGGAAGGAGGGGATAGGAGAGAGGAGAGCCGGGCCTGGAGAGAAAGAAAGATGGCTGGAGCAGAGCAGAGAACAGAGAGAGAGCAGCGAGAGAGTGTGGGGGTCTGTGTCCGGCTTTTAAGGCACTTACATAGTCGCCAGTACACACTGATGACATAAGACGCAAGACCCCGAGCTGCGCATGTGCAGGAGTGAGGGCAGGATCCTACCATTCCAAACTTTTTGCTTATTATAAAAAAGCGAGTGAGTAGGAACAGGGGCACCATTTCTCCTGGAAACACTGCTTCCAGCTGACTTGGTGGGCGTCGGTTGACTCTTGGGGGAAGTAGGGCAGGGGCCTCCTGAGGTAGACAGGCATCCTGGGATGGTGGGCTGTCCTGCTGCCCTGGAGCCGTCCATCCCTCTTGACTTGGCACTCTGGCTGCTTTTGTGTCTGACAGGATGCTGGTGAGACAGAAAAAGCCTCAAGTAGATCTGACGTGTCCAGATGGATTTAAGCTGGTTTCTGGGGCTTGGGAAAAATTTTGAACATGTTAAGAAGCAGTCATGAGAAAATTAGTGACCATTGTAGTGTTTAGTACTCTGCTTGTATTGGTTAGTGTTAATGAGAGAGACAGAGAGATTGAACATATTTTTAATTATTTTAACCTGAGATAAGCTTTATCAGAGACAGATTATTTAAGCCACCTGTTTCCTTTACTAGTTTAGCATCCAGGAGACGCAGGTGACTAAATGTTGAGAGCGTTTAACAGTAATAGATGGTTATATTAAAGTCTGTTTTTGTAGCGCCCAGACACTTTGGGGTCTGGGGGTGTAAATACCTTTTAGCTGTTACAGTTTCTTACTTGACGATCTCTGGACTCCAGTTCTGTGGTGGTCCTGTACCATTAGCTGAACAGTGAGTTAGAGGAGAGAACTGGGAAGAGAAAAGCTTGTGGTGCATGAGAACTTATTTCTTTGGAATTAGGGACAAGGCAGAGATCAGGGCCCTGTCTGTGTGCACAAGAAAGAGAAGCACTTCTGACAGGTCTGGAGTGAGGCACATGGAGGAGCGATGAAATGAAAGCTCCTATCTTCGCTGGAAATATTTTCCCATTGAGTAACCCTGAAAGTGCAACTAAATTTGGTGAGATGGGTGAGTAAGGTTGTCCTCCCTACCCTGACAATAGGAGAAGTGAGGCCCCAAAACTCCCAGAGTGGCTCTGGTGTCCAGAAGGAAAGAAACGGATCACTTCCACACTGTGTTCTGGGTTCCCTGAAAGCCTGTGGCCGAGCCTAGGTCTGTTGGAGGTCTTAGCTTGATGTTCCCATGCCATCTTGGTGCCTGGGGGCAGTCAGCTGACCAGTTGTCTTTCTAGGCAGCACTTTGAACAAGGCTCAGTTGATGGCCTGGTGGACCACTCACTAGTCCTCATGACCTTTTTTTCACACTTAGAATAGGAACCCAATGGCTTTCGGGAGCCAGCATGCCAGCACTTGGCAATTTTGTCCTCAGGCTTTTTATCTCTTCCCTGGTATACCTTGAATGCCACAGATGATATTTTTGCCTATGGGGTCAGGAGCCTTGCTCTCCAGATGCTTAGTTTTCGTCCTATGTCAGGGAGGTCTAGGGGAACAAGAGACAGGTTTTACTCCTTGTCTTTAATTTTTTTTTTTTTGATGTCTGCCAGCTTGAGGACAGCTTTAGGAAGACCCTCCAGGAGGCAGGCTATAAGCTGATCTCTGGCTAAAGAGCAATCCTGATTACTGTAAACTTATTTGCATGGATCCTAGCCTGCTTTCAGACCCATCTGTGCTTCTCAGGGCAGCTTGAGAACGAGTGGGAGGAGCTAAGGTGAGTTAAAGCCCGCCCAATACCAAGAGCAGAAGTCAGATAGACAGAAGTGGTTGCACATGGCAGGGAAAGAATCAGAAATGGAGGAGAAGGGTTTGGTAGAAAGCTTGGGGATAAGGTAACTTTTTGTTTGCCCATTTGCTGGCAGAAGTTAGATAATTCCTGTGAAATATCAGGGTTGAAACAGCCAAATTTACTGGTATCCGTCCCTGTGTCCCATGGCTGCAGCACTGAGAGAGAAAAATAAAAAATTAAAATAACAAACGGGACCCCAGGCCTATTTCAGCGTCCTTGAGAACAGGCAGTCTGTGGACCGCATTGTCAGCACAATTACCCGAACCATCCTCACGAAAGGGTAAGGGCTGGGGGTACGTACCGGAGGACCCTGCAGGGGCCCGGACAGCATCCTATACTTCATCAAGATTGAGTGTGTTGTGGTACGCAGCCGAGGACCCCCCAGGGGTCTGGTGCGAAGACTATAGCTCAGACTGCAGTCACAGGAAACAGCGGGGGACTCACCAATCTTGGCAGCACGTGTGGTGGGGGGAGATGTGGTGCCTGTGGTTGCTGCAGCAGCAGCAGCAGCAGCGCGAGCACAGTTCCCATGCAGTACTGTGGTGGTGGTGGCAGTGGTGGCTGGGCAAATGAAAACAGCGGATCCAGATTTGGCAGTCGCAGGTCCTCGGTATAGGTTTCCGACAACACTCAGCCCTGGATGCCGAGCGAGCAGAATTTCCTAGAGTCAGGGCACCAAATGAAAGGACAATAAACAGCGCTGGTGGCAGCGCTGGCTACGGGTGGAAAAGTCACAAGCCACAGCCTCGACTACCAGAGTTACAGAGAGCTTTATTGGAAGGAGGGAGGGGATAGGAGAGAGGAGGGCGAGAAAGATGGCTGGAGCAGAGCAGAGCAGGGAACAGAGAGAGAGCAGAGAGAGAGGGTGGGGCCTGCGTCCAGCTTTTAAGGTGCATACGTAGTTGCCAGCACACACTGATTATGTAAGATGCAAGACCCTGAACTACGCATATGCAGGAGTGAGGGCAGGATCCTAACACTTAGGCCTATGGTTGTGCAAGGAGAAATGGGGAGGGGTACGTGGGACCCACTTTTATGGATTCCCCTGCACACGCACATGTGGGCTTCCATAGCTACGACACACACGCGAGTAGATTATGTGATCATGCAGCATACAGATTACGTGGGACACAAGGCCCTGGAATGACCAAGTGAATGACTAAGCGTCTTGCTAGCACATGTGCGATCAAGGGGGAGTGGCTAGGAGTTCTACCAGCCAGAGCATAGGAAGTCTGCTGCAGATACGACAGTTAGGCTACCGATGCAATCTCAGCAACACAGTTGACTACACGAGATCGGAACAACAACAATACCAGCAGACGTACCAAAGTGGATGTGGGGAATATCGTGAGGTCCCACCCCTAGAGGAAGAGCTACAGGCAACAAATGACTGCTGAGAGAGGGAGAATTAATTAGTCTTCTCCAAGGATGAGCTACCTAACCGGTTATCCAATACCAAGTAGTCGTCTCTAAAAACATACACATACAAACATCACTAAACAGACTCAGCAGGTTGTATTAGATATGGATTTGATTATATATGTGTGCATGTATATATGTAATAATATATATGTATATATTGTTTATATATGTGGGAATAGTTAAGAAAAGGAAGGGGTCATGAGAAGAGTTGGAGGCAGGAGGTGGGGAAATGAAGTAATTATATTTTAATTAAAAAGAAATTTAAAATTATTAAAACTCCAAGATGGCATTAGCAGAATCTGTTCCCTTGTTTTTGAGACAGGTTCTCATGTATGTGAGGCTGACTTCAAATTCATCATGTAGCCTATGTAGTGTCAAACTCCTGGTCCTCCTGCCTCAGCCTGCCAAGTGCTGGAGTTGCAGGTGTGTGCCACCATTGCTGGCCTCGTGGTCAGTCTTTAGGGCTGTTATGAAGGCAGATCATGCCCTGTGCACCTCGTCTTTGTCTCCTGACCCTCATTTCATTGCTGCACATGCTCTATTGACTTGACCTCTGGGGATGATTGATTGCTCCACTGTCATCACACAGGTCCCTTCTGAAACAGGTCAGTCAATATGCCCCCGACCTTTACCTCCCGTGCTTCCCTCTTGCTGCTCCTAGGACTCAAGTTTACAGGAGCTCCTGGGCAACTCCAGCCCTGACCCCAAACTCTGGTGGCTGGAGAGCTTGCTTATGTGAACAAGAGCCAATAGGGTAGGCCAGGGACTGGACCAGTCCCCTGCCCCCTAAGACCCTCCCAAAGCTTGATATCCTGATGCCCTGTGCTTCCTCAAGCTGACACATGCTGTTATTTCTCCTCTTTCAGGAGAGGAACAAGGTCAGGCAGCTCCTTCATTTCCAATCCACTTATCACTTGGGGAAGTTTGACTTCTGATAATGCTGGCTCTAAGACTACCTGCTGGGACTTGTCAGGGTCAGAGGTTTGTTTTCCTCTGCTGCTGCTGAGTTTCAGTTTCCTGTTCTTCCCACCAGTTTCAGTTCTGTTTCTCAATGAATCTCTTTCCTTTTTCTGTGGTATTGACTGCTCCTGTTTGCTGTCATTGTTCTTTACTGCTTTTTAACCTGATTACAATAAACCATTTATTTCAAGGCAGATGTTCCCAAACAGGAACTTTCAACATATTGAAAGCTCAGTACTGTGTCTTCTATTCTTGATCAAGCAGAATCCATTACTTTATTAGATTATGTACCTGTGTGTGCACACACTGACTTGCTCCTGGGAAACTTCACAGAGTGAGTGGGTCACCAAGAATTTCTGGCACTCCAGTGAATTTAAGGGCCCCACATCCAGTGTTTCTGCCTCTTCCTGGACAAAAGACTGAGTGAGAACTCCCTGAGCTCAAGAGTATTCTGGTCCTATGATGGAGTAGGATCTTCTTATTTAGTTACCATTCCTTCTCAGTTAGTTACTCTATGCTCTGCAGAGAGCCAACATGTCCCAGGCTCCTGTTTTTGAAGTTACATGACATTCTCTCATAGCTGTGTATTTGCTCAAATGTTATTTTTGAACATTAATGTAAAGACGATCCTACCATGAATATGCTTTCATATGAATATTTATTTTCTTTTCCTTTTTCTGATTTAGGATTATTTCCTCAAGGTACAACCATACTTACAAAAAGTTACAAACACTTTTTTGTTTGCTTTTATTTTTTTGAGACAGGGTTTCTCTTTGTAGCCCTGGCTGTCCTGAAACTTACTCTGGCCTCAAACTCAGAGATCTGCATGCCTCTGCCTCCCAAGTGCTAGGATTAAAGGCATGTGCCACCACACCTGACTAAAAAAAAAAAAAAAAAAAAGAAAAGAAAACTTTTCAATGCTGGTTTTTAAATTTTTTAAATTGTGTCTGTGTACCACTGTGCATACATGGAGGTCAGAGAACAATTTGTGAGAGTTGGTTCTCTCCTATATGTGAGTCCCAGGTATTGAACTCATATCCTCAGGCTTGGCAGCAGGTGCCTTTACCCACTGAACCACCTTGCCAGTTCTCATTATGACATTTTCATACATATATGATTATATTTTGTTTCAGACTTACCCTTCCCCGAACACTCATCTCTCCTCCCCACATCTCAGTTTTAAGATTCCTGACACCAATTGTCATTACTTTACAAAACGGATCCAGCAGTGTACAGCCTAAAATGGCCGTTTAATGTCAATGAACCCTGGCAAAATCAGCGATTTTTGGTTCAAAAAGAAGTACATCATTAAAAGCAGTTTGACGTTGTATTTGTCCAAAAATTCCTTAATTGCACATGTGGCCATCTTTGAATTTAAAAACCAAGCTTTAGTCGGTATATCTATTTAACACAGAGGCATAATGAGAGTAAAAGTTATAGTTTAGGTCCCCTCAACAGATGAGAATCGCACACAGTCAAGAGAAAGCAGCTGCTGAGCTGGGTGACAGATGTTACTGTAGCTCAAAAAGAGAAGAGTTCACAGACTGGTATGTTTGGGGCACACAGGCTATTTCCTTCTGGCATTAGAGAATGGCAGGCCTCCACTGGCATTAATGGGAGGGATGAGAGAGATCTTCCAGGCTAGGAGGGCAGTGTTCACAAGGCCACTGGGGCATAGACAGCTGAGAAGTGCAAGTGACAATGCATACACTAAACTCAGATGCTCCATTTCCTGCAAAGGAGTCAGCCACACAATGTGATGTAATGCAAATTCCACATCGTTTTAAAACTGCAAAACCCTAATAACCATTCAGCTAAGTGTCTCCCAAATCATTCATTTTTGGGGGGGAAGAAGGAAGTAGATGTGAACACAGGGTTAAAAGTCTTATGTCTTTATCCCAAGGACATTCATTGCTCCTTCTGCTGGTTCCTTAGAACTAGTCCAGGACACTCAGATGCTTCTCCTGATGTATGTTTAGACAGACAGGCAGGTAGACACACCTATAACCCCAGCTCTGTGCTAGGAAAAAACCAGGAAGATTGGTGGAGTTTGCTGACTTGTCAACCCAGCCCAGTGAGAGAACATGTCATGGGGAGAGGCAAGAAGAGATCTAGCAGGACACCTGATGTCACCCTGGCCTCCATACAGTCAAGGACACGCACATCTGCACACATATGTACATCAAGCCCTCTCTCTTTCTGTCTCTGTTTCTGTCTGTCTCTGTCTGCTCCCCCTCCCTCCCACACAAACACCAAGAAACAAAGAGAATTCTTAAGAGAATCAGAAAAATAATGGTCACTGGGCAAGGGTGCCAATAAAAAATGATTATGCAGATTTGAAAAGGTATCTGAGTTTTGAACAGCTTCTAAGGTTAGTTCCATGTCCCTACTAGGTTGTTTTGTGCAGAATGATGAATAATGTAACTAAACAGTGATATTATTTTCATTTACATATTTAAAGAAAATACATAAATGTAAGCATTATGTCCAGTGAACTTTCTCTTGTGCTTTTTTTTAACTTCGCACAAGTCGCCCTGCTGAATTTTATGAGGAACCAACGAACAGTAAGGGGAGACTGCATCACCAAGTAACACACAGTTTATCTACAAATGCAGAGAAGCAATTGGCACAGACAACTTTCACATAACACCGGCAACCTAATCAGAACATTAAAAGAGTGGGCACTCGGCACATGCTTGCTCGAATTTGGGAGGCTGGGGAAGAAGACTGCTGCACACTAGAGGTCTGCCTGGGCTACAGAGTGAGATCCAGTCTCAAAAATTCACATAAATGAAGGAAAAAGAGACTGGTCCGTCCCCGGGTGGAAAGGCCAGTGTGGAGGTCCGGCATGACTGGTGACTCAAAGCAAGACTGGTTCAGGTTTGGAATAGGGATGAGAACCATCCCAGACAATGAATAAAACAAAAGCCCGAAGTGCCTATTCTTGGCAAGCTAGATAAATGCATTCTCTAGTTGCTAAAAATTAACTTTCCAAAATAGACAAATGTGGTAGAGCCAGCCACATAGCATAAAATAGCATTTCCATTGCATAATATTAACACACATACATACATAACATAAAGTTAGCAGTACACTTCACCAAGAAATAATTGTGGGGCAAGAGAATAAAATGTATTCCAAAAGATGACATGTAAATTATTGTCTATTCTCTAAAAAGTAAAATAATCAACTCTAAGCAGATATCCAACCTTAAAAACTGTGCCCCAACTGTAATGCTATATACTAGCATAGTCAGGGATGGAAAGTGCACACTTGTGAGAGATGGTAGTGATTAATGGTGACATAGTTGTGAATCCTGTGACTGGAGAGGAGCGACTTTCTCGCACTGTAGAAGATATGTAGGCTCAGTATGTGTGACTGCACAGGGCAAAGGTGTTTTATGTGAGCATGGATCACTCAGTCTATACACAATACAGTTACCACGGATAACCGTCTGCATACTGTACACAGTGAAAGAATTAGACCCATTATTCTAAGTCTCCTCCATAAAATATGAAGGCTTTATTTCCTGTTTGGAGAATTCTAAACTTCAAGAAAAGACAGCACTGTTCACAGATGCAGAACACATGCAAAGGATTTTTATTAGAACTTTTTTTCTCTCCTGAAGGCATTCCTGCTTTGGAATGAAACCAGCCTCTCTGAATACTTAACCCAGATCCTAGAAGCTGTTTGTAGTTGTGTAAGACATGTGATAACTACAGCATAAAGGACGGGAGGTGGGCACTTTTTTCCCACAAGTGTTTTCTCAAGGAGGGCTTACATTTTGCATGAAGCAGAAACAACATTAACTGGACGATGAAAAGTTGAAGGGATATGTTATATTTCTAAAGAAACTAAGCTTTGTGTATGTGTGCGTATTTCTGTGTTTGCAGTTACACACATGGTGTGTGTGTGTGTGTGTGTGTGTGTGTGTGTGTGTGTGTGTGTGTGTGATGCATGCATGCGTGCATTCATGTGGAGGTCAGAGGTAAGTCTCAGGCACGGTCCCTAGGAAGCTGTTCTTGTG